ACCACGGCGCGCACCAGAAAGGTGACGCGGCTCTGGTAGATTGCGTCAAAGACCGAATCCCAGGCCGCCTGCGCCAGGCTGATGGGCAGGAGGGGAAAAAAGACTGCACAGTTCAGGTAGACGAAGGAATCGGGCCCGAAGAGCAGCTTGAAGTACACCAGGCTCGAGAGAGAGGAAATGTAGCCAATCGAGGATCCCAGCCCGGCCAGGAAAAAGAGGAGCTGTTCCAGAAGGATGCTGCTGGTGCAGGCCTCGGCGATGCGTTCGGTGAACACGATGGGAGCTGCTACCAATGCTGCCATCGTCCCCGGGAACGGAGGTCGATCGTCAATGTCGTTGTCGATGTCGATGTCGAAGCTATTGATGCTTGCGTCCCGGGACGTGCCGGGAGAAGCAGAAGAAGAACTGCTGCTAGCGCTTTGCGTGGTGTTTTCGTTGGCGTGGTCCGTGGACGGTTCTCGATCTCGGTGGTCTGCTGGGCCCAGAACAGCGCCATTGCTGTCATCGCCATCGTTCGGATTGGCACAGCCCAATGCCTCCATGGCCACGGACGAAGCACACTTCTGGTCTCACTCGGCTGTCTGTGTCTCGGTTCTCGAAAATTGGTTTTTCGATGCCGTCCCATCAGGTAACAAAAAAGAACAAAACTGTAGCACTACATACCGCAGGCCATGTGAAAAGATTACGCCATTTTTTGGTACGCGCGCGACTAGAAAACTCCATGCACTGTTTCTCAACAACGAGAAGGACCCTTCGAATTCTGAGCACAAGCTGACAGAGCCCATGAAATCTACGTGTCATAAAGAGAATACTTCAAAGCACGTTTTACTGTCATGAAGAAAGGCTTATCAAAAATGACGTTTCAAAACGTATCCCATGTTACTTATGAGGAAAAAATTGAGAAACGTGTCAAAAAACGTGACGGCGGAAAAAGGACAGACTATCATACACGGGTGTTTGTATGTACATATGGTACGACAAGACCATATTACAGTACTATGGTAGTACCATGTTGACACAAATACTGAATACTGTGTACAGTTCTAGTGCTGATCCCTTACAGATTGAATAAATATATTAGGTTTATGGCAAGATACAACCCTGTCTATTGGTGCCAAGGCAGGTATGCAATGCTAAATATAGTCATCTAACTCCTTTTTTTACTAAGAAGAAGTTATCATGGATATCCTGGTGCCTAGTACTGCTGGTACTAGTAATACTACGTACCACTACTATGTCTGGTTCTTTCTGCTGAGCAAATACTAATAGTACTGGGATTGTCCCTGTAACAAGTCCCCGCCTGTTCAACACCAGATGAATAATAACAAAGCAGGATATATTTCTCTCTAGTACTACTACTAGCTCCTATTGGTGCCATGCTGGGAGGTATGTGATACTAGTAAATGTAGTAGTCTTACTAGTTATGGTGGCCCTCATAGTGTTTTGCACTAACTTGTTTCTTCCAAAATATCATAGATGTCCTTCATAACAAGATTCATTCCTAATTACTATTCTCCTCGTCCCTTGGTGCCATGGAAGGTATGTGATGCTACATATAATCACCTACTAACTCTCATTTTTGGCAAAGCTGTGGTGCTCATAGTGTTTTTGTTCCCAGGACAGCAATTACTTGTATTTGCATTGTGAGAGTAGTATATTTTCAAAACATATCATAGATGAGGAGGTTTTTTGTAGTAGCAAGACACATTCTTCTTTATTGGTGGTACTACCAAGGGGGGATACAATGTGATGCCAAATTTAATGATGTACCTCCCATTTTTGAGAAAGATATGGCTCTCATATTGATTTGGTTCCTGCTGGTCAATTACTAGTATTTGCATTGTTAGGATATCATTTCTTCTTCATTATCATAGTAGAAAAGCTTCATAGCAAGATACAGTCGTCCTGGCCTGTCTGTTGGTGCCATGGGGGTTATGTAAAGCTGTTGGTGCCATGGGGGTTATGTAAAGCTAAAAAAATAGAAAAGTGCATATTGTTGACAAAGAAGATACTAAGGCCCTCATAATGATTTTGGTCCCTTCCCAGCAATACTGCTGGTATTTTGTCAGTATTGGGTTCAGTACTCTCAAACATCAAAGATTACTAATATCAAATAATACAGCCAGCAGGGGGAAATGTGATGCTAAATGAAGTCACCTAGCTCCCATTTTTGACAAAACCCTCATTGACCTTAAAATAGGTCTCTAGCCAGAATTGTAACACTAATACTGGTATTATTAGTTTACTGCTTGTAAAATCTCTCCAGGAATATCAGTACTTGTTGATTTTATAAAATAGCACAGGCATAAGAATTATTGATAAGAATATAAATAGTTGTCACATCAAAGAGCTCATTTGACAGACTTATGGGTAGAATAACTACTACTAATACTGTTATTTTGAGCTTACTGCTGATACTGTCTCTCTAAGAATATCAGCAGCAGTACTCTACTAGTAGTATGTTACAAACCAGTAGTACTGCAATGAATTTACTGCAGTGAATTGTGTCTATGACATAATACTGTACTTTTATGTACAGTATGTACGTAGGATTCCTTATCTGGTATCAATCACAAAACACCATCAGCAGTCTCCTGATGTGACCAAAAACTGGGTGGAGTTGAACCAAACCCTATGCATGGAGCAAAAGAATTTGGGTTGACACACTACCAAATATATTTTTGAGGGGTTCTCCTCAAAAATTTTGACTCCAAATCATTCCACCACCATAGAACCCTCACAATGTTCTCCTGCCTGCAAAAATATATGCCTGAACAAGAAGTTTGACAAAAAAAACTGACACTGCATCATATTGAATGGTCATGAGGAAATTTTGGCTGAGTTGGTCTTTATGCAAGGATTCTACACATATATGTATGGGGGTTAGTACATGTGATCAAAATTTTGCCTCCTCAAAATGTCTCACATACCTATTAGTTGTGTTTCACAGTCCAATTTGTTGTTATTACTGCTGAAAGGATCCAAAAGCATAAAATAAGAACCTGTTAAGTAATAAATGAATTAATGGGAGAATTTTACTTAAAGAACCAAAAAAGATAGAATCATCATGCACTTACCACCAAATCCTTTTTGAATGACATTTCCTTTCTCATTATGTTTCCATTTGCAACAATGAAAAGCAGAAAACCAATTTTGCAACTAGAAACAAGAGGATATTTATACCTCAACCAAGACTCTCCTGAAGAATACTATCTCCTGAACCAAAATCCTTCTGTGGAATACAAGTATCCTCTTTCAACATGAAAAGAATGAGTGCAGAGAAAAAAGCCAAGAGGAAGGCTGGGAGAGATGCCACTGATAATGTAAAATGATACCTATTCAAAGATCCAGAGCACTCAGAGTGGCAGAAGAAAATGGAAGCAACATACATGGCTGGACAGATTGTTTCTGCCACCATGCTGAGGTAGGGTGCCATTGTCCGTTTTCTCAATCCTTGCCCAGGTGAAACAAAGGAAAGAAGCAAATCCAGAGTTCCTGTTCTTGTGAAAAATAAAAGAAAGATGGGTCAAAAGCACCACCAAAGATAACTCAAAATGCTGGTCCTCTATCTCTCAGAGTCAGCACCAGAATCAAGAACCTGGAAGAACTTGAACCGGGAGACCATTACCAAAGAATGCACTCAGAAGTATTTAGTATCTTCACATATGGTGTTATCTGCTGAATCAATACATGAGCTGTCATGATATCAGCCAAACAAGGAATGCAGTCAAATCAGATAGTTCTTTCTGCCAATGTAGCTGAACCAGATACCTCTTTCCACAAAAGCAACAAATGCAGTCAAACCACATACCTCCTGGCACATCATGTATTTCTTTTGTTTCTCTTCTCTGATATCTGTTTTGAAATACCTGTTTTAAACATGACAGCACCACCATGTTGGGAAGATTCTTGCATGTGTTGATTGCCTCCTGAAACAAGCTTTTCTTTGAAGTAGTTCTGAGTGGCATTTAGTATTTTTTATGTACTCCCTGTACATATCTGTCGCAGCATATATTTGATGAATTCTGTAAACCRCAAAATAATTGTAAAAAGTTTATTGTTTGGATGATGCAACAATGGAGAACATGTACTAGTAACTATCAAGATCTCATCCAGGGATGGTACTTCCTCCCCTAAGGTCTTTGTTGTTGATAAGGAGTCATCTAATGTCTGGTGCTGTGTAGTGGGGTGTGTTCAGAAAGTAGGAATGCTAGGAAGGAAAACATCCAAAATGAAATCACAACACAGGCACCTCTCCGTGCAAGATGACACATTTTTCTTGCAGAAAAAACACTACAAGAAGTATTTGTGTTGAATGACAGTTCCTTGTTGCTTGTCKTCGTAGACTACGGTACAATTTACTTGCCTATCATATGCTATTCCAACCTTCTTACTTGTTGTGTGGCTCTCCTACTCCTAATGGTCAYGAGACAAAAAAGATTCTATCAAACTAGTACAAAGAACCAGAAAGGTGAAACTAGATACCTTGATCATRCATTTATGCGGTGAATATGAATTGGTGCATGCAAGAAAATCACACAAATAGTGCACTGGTTGTACACTTTGTAGGACAAATCGATGATTGCACTCATTACAGTACTAATGTGCTGCRCATTTCACAGCGACGGATTCCCCACTCGAGCAAGGTTGGGCTCCGATTCCAATGCTGCCAACAGYCCTGTTTCAACGAGTCTTTTTGGATTCGCACGACCAAGCAGAATCGAGGSTTGGAATGCCCGCCCGAAAAATACAGCAGCTCTAGAGATGAGTGAGTGACCGTACGGTTCGGTTGACGCTCGGAGCCCCGGAATCCGTGTGGGGAACCGATTCGTTGCGAACTTCGCAGCGTCGCAGACGCCCATTCGATGCTGGCGCAGCCCACGGCATGCACGGACTGCTCCACCTCGCACTGCACGCATTTTTTACTATCCCCCCGCCGACTACCATTCCAAACCGTTCCGTTCCGTTCTCTCTCGACCGCCCACCCATGGAACCGAARTCCCGTTCCCGCCGAGCTAACCGAGAGCAATCGGCTCGTCGCAGGACCCCACCGCGATCGCAACGTGCACGATGTTGAGGGCCTCGTTGTCGATCATGGTGTAAAAGGAATCCTCGCCCGCGCTGCTTCCGTGTGGCTTTTGCTGCCGGAGGAACCGGCCCTCGTGCTTCGCGATGGTGTCGTAGAACTCCCTTATCTTGGTTTCCACCCGCGTCTTGTGGTCCGGATCGAGGCTCCGG